ATATATATATAGGTACAGCAGAATAAGTATCAATTTAATTACGAAACATCGTTCAAAACTACAATGATAATACATTAACTTTGTTTGAATACATTATTGGTTATTGTATTATTATAAACATAACTCTAAAAGGAATATTTTATACTGACGAAACTTATTGCGTATTTGCGTAATATAGAGAGAGGAACTCACGAGTCCACGCTTGACATTGAATTTTGAAATTATAATAATAATAACAATCAAACAAATAATTGCAATTTATTTTTTATTTTTTGTTCAATAATGTGTAAGAGCATATTAAATAACAACATAATGCTGTTTCTAATTCATTATACAAATATAAACTAAAATTCTTTCCATGTTTGTAGTTTTAAAACTAATTTATTTTCCATTATTTACTGTAATATCATTATTTTGTTATTTGCATTAATTGTGTTTTTAATTGCGATTTTAGAATAATGTACATGATTAAAACGTAAGTAATTATTAATGCTCGTAAGATGTTTGAATTAACATTTGTACGTTTTGGTATTGATTTTAGAATGCACTTTTAACAATGTTTATATATATACAATATAATATGTTTTAATATTAATGGTTTTAGGTTTTAATGTACTTGTAAATTAATTTAATTATAATAAATTACTTTAATTTACACGTCGATAACGTAATAATAATAATATTTTTCATGCCACACCATAAAATATATGTATATGTTACCGAAAATGTATTGAATATACTATAAGTCATACGGTATATTTTGAACTTTTTTTGGTTTTATTTAATTCGGTATAAAACTTTCCGAAATCTTTGTAGAATGAGTAATAAGTAATAAAAAAAAAAAAATTAAAGTTTTAATTTGATTAAATCAATTACATATTTTTAATATTTTTATTTTATAAAATTATTTTACCTATTTTCAAACAATTGAGATGTTAAGCATCTTATCTGTCATATCATGTATGTAATTTTGAAATGTATGAGTAAGTATGTGTCAAATATAAATGTACTTATAAAGATACAATAAAATATAATTGTATATCAACTGCATACATTACCTGCTTGAGAATCGGTATTCTATAAAAATATATTATATCAATTTTATACTTTTCCTGCTCATTTTTTTTTTTTTTTTTTTTTGGCATTCCATAAAATGCCTAGTTATTCTATAAAATACCGGATTCGACACTATGCTGGTAAAATAAGTATGTAATTGTAAGATCAAAATAATAATTGGTCTGTTACAAAATAATGTGCATTATTAATACCCTTAGATACAGTTGAGATGTTATGTGTCTTCATCGTTCTTCTGTCCGTTCCGTTCAACGACTACTTGATAAAAATCCATTGCGTACATCCTGTAGCGTAGTTATATCAAAGCATTTGAAAAATCGTAAGACCAGTGCACAATGACTGTCATGGATGTTGACCAATATAAAACCAAAAATGCGATACAATAAAAAAAATAACGTCCGAAGTGAAAGTGAAAAACGTTACAAAACGGAAAAAATAAAAACATACGGAATAACAAAATTATATTCAAAAATAATAAGGTTAGTAATTAATCACGAAGCCTTTATAAAAAACGCGGTGCACATGCCGAAGTTGTGTATTGTAGTTTATTGAAAAATGAACGTTTCCCACACTGTAATAGTTTTAAGGGATAACAAATTAATATTTGTAACAAAGTCGTGCATACGAATATCAAGACTCGATAGATAATTATGGTGATCATTAGTTTTACAAGCAAGGGATTGCCATAAACCGTAGGCAATAATAGTACATGAAGTGCCACTATTCGCTACAGTACGACCCAAAAGCGTTTATTGAACGGCTATTCGGATTTAACGGACTAGCATTAATGGGAAAGTTATCATTTCAAATTCAAATAAAATAACCTGTTTACGTTATAAATAATTATTATTTTTAGTTTTAAAAAGTATATACCTATTCATTATTTATTACTCATTATTTCGGTCGAAATATTTTTGTTCCATATAAAGCATTTTTCACACACATACACCAATTATATTCTGCACGGTTTTTATTTTATAAAAATTTCGATTCTTAAGACTTAAATATCGAACCAGTTACTAAGCAATTATGCATATTTAAGGTGTTGATCAGTGGAGTATAAACTAGCAGAAGGTGTTTTGCAAAAATTGATGCACACTATTACAATCATTCAAACCTTGAAAAAATAATATTATGGAGAAAATAATAAGATATGTAATTTTTTTTTACACAATTGTTGTGCAGTCATGACTTGAAATTACAAATACATATTTTATTTTTTATTTGTTAGCTAAATTTAAATTGACCGAGAAAATAAGTTTTGCTTGTTAAAAAAATATTTTATGCATAAAATTATAATATTTTATATCTTCTATTGGTTGCCTCACAGAGTACATTTATTTTTTTTTAGGGTCAACCTCATATATAACACTCTAAATGAGACAAACATAGTGAGCTCTCCTTCAATTGACATAACTGGTACTTCATTAATTTATATTTTATTGTCAAATCAAAATTTTTACGTTGTATTGAATAATTTTATTATTTCCTTAATTAACATTTTCCAATTATATATAAGATTAAACTTTAAATTACGGCACAATTACACTTATATTAAAACATAAATAATAATTCAATAAATAAATCTTCGTATTTCACTGACTGTTGAATTAATCAACAACTCTGATATTAACTAACGCTCAATAATGTAAGATCATACATGATCGTACAAAAAATTGATTACCATGCTGCTATAATGGTCACGCATGAATATGAATATAATATAGAATGAATGTAATAAATACATCACCGTGAAAATACAATATTATTTTTCAGAAAATATCAAACTATCTAAGTTTATACGAATAAATACGAGTTTATACCATCACATGTGAAAACACTATTATTCTTTCTTATTGTGTGAATTTTATAATGAACAGAAATAAATACACTCGTACGTACATTGAAAGGGATGTTCTGCTGAACCAATTTATGGTTGTGCTTCAAAAACCGTGTGTATTGTACAGAAACAGAAATAATCAACTTTTACGTCGTAGCATGTAGGTAAATAGATATTTGTAAAACACTTTTATCTTTTGAAATGTTAATAATTTATAATATTATAAATAATTAAAAAGTGTTATCAATTAGATAACGACGGTAGCTTAATTTATGTACAAACGAACAAATTAAGATGATCACTGTCTATAAAATGTTTACTCATTTAGTAGTGTAGTCTAGACAACTGAATAGATGGTCGATAATTTAGCGATGAAAAGGCAAAACAACGTGTATTTATAATATTTTAGTGTGCACCGAAGGGTTCACGGTGATTTGGTTTTATTTTGGTTTAGAGTTATCGAAATGCACGCGAAAAATAATATTATAAGAACAAATACGATAATTTTAAAATGTGCATTCGATAGTATACATATACACATTGATTGCACTTTTTAGACGTATATATGTTTCGCCGATAAGTTGCACAAACCTCAACCTTGAATTCGACACGTATTGTTGGGCCGACGTAACATTTTCCTATCTATAGCGTCTCTCACAGTGAAAATAAATCAGATTCATCAGTGGATAAAATAATTATTTATTCATTCTTCGCGTGCAGCTTATGAGTTTACAATGCCGGTTTTGAAACATTCATGTAGTGGTTACACCTAATACATTTATTATAAAATAAGAGCAAAAATTACAAACAAAACGTCTTCCTAGGTACTAACCTAATTTTAGAAACCGAATGATTAAACATGTTTGTGGATTTTTATTTTACATTAAATTTGATATCAAAATATATATATACAGAAGAAAGGCAACTGACGGATTTCGTCAGTGCTCCGGTTCCATGTATTTTATAGTACATTTTATCGTATTGTATATTTTCAATACAATGATTCGTGAATCAATACACACGCGTGCGAGGGTCTGCATAGGACGTATAGTTAAGTCAGCCGAGCATAAACGACCTAATTTGCTATACGTACCACTACGTATGTTTTGTAACTTGAGGTCGACGTCAGAAAATTGAATTTAAGTAGGTTGATTCGATTTAACAGAATGTTATATTCTCAATGGAAATTAGCAAACGATGCATATTACAAATCGTATAATATTTTACATTTATGTGATTTCCCACACAGCATAGATATGTTTATTCAATACTTAATAAATATTTAAAAAAAATTAAAATATTTGATAAATGTTCAATATCTATTGGTTATACAATGTATAATATGTATATTATAAATTTTTAAACATTGAATTAAGTATTAGACATTTATGTATAGAATTTTAAATGTTCATTGATTTTAAAATATTTTTTTTGAATATTAATAAATTCTTATTACATGTTTTAGGTTCAATATGAAAAATAAAATATATATTCTATGTTGAATAAAGTTCTTTAGATATTTAAATTCCAATCATATGTAAATATTGTTTTAATCGTTATGATTGACAAATTTGGTGTGGGTTGTTTGCAACGTAATAATTGTGCATAAATACAATATTTTGTAGTTAATTGGTTCATAAAACATATATTATTATTTAGTTTTTCATAATTATAATTACAACATAGAAGTAACAAATTAATTTAAGTTACAATTTTTTACAAATTTTGTATTATTATATAGACTTTTAAGGAAACCAATTTCATATAGTTGAATTTATCAAAAATTCTTAGTTTAAAATAGGAATGAATAAAATATATTTTGTTTTTGAATCGACGTAAGAATACTGCTGTTTTCATGAGCTGTTTTTAGTTTTGAGCACTTGTTATTGAACCGTTCGAACCACGAGCCATTTGTATACAACCCCTCAGGAGTTTTTTGTCGGAGAATTAACAAAAGGGTGGTTTGAACAAGTGAGGGTAAATTCTGTGCAGCCATTGGGGACAAACATTACTTTTATCAAAATGATGCTATAGCGTACCGTGGATAATTCAAGTGATTAAATATTAAAAACATTATACATCGTGGTTCGAGAGGAATTATTTTTTATTAAAACTTATCAAAGTATCAAACATATTTTCGAATTGTATAAAGTATTGGTATAAAGACGTAAAAGATAACATTATTTGATTTAATAAAACGTTTAAAGTATACAAATCGAGAATATTATTAACAAAACACATGACGCAATATCAATTAAACTCCGTTGTAACACTGTCGGGTTCTTCGATTGCCCAACGCTCACAACAAATGCAATCGAGGAGTGCATCGTATTCACCGGTGATATTATTGTTAATCCAGCCGGGCACGGGATCCTCATCCGATCGGAGTGTACGTGATCCTCTATAACACCATAACGTGTGTCGTCACGAGGGATGCAACGCGCTTGACAGTTTCCTAAAAATCCTTACGGTGCTGTAAGTAGAAAGCCAGTGAAGTGCCAGTGAAGTCGATCCGAAACACACTGCGGACACTCTTCGTGCGGGTTTCGCACGTGACGTCCGACCGGTGCGGAAAACTGTGTCCAGGTGCATGTGCGAACCGAATTCCAGACGGTGTCCTTGCGCCAGAGCTCGGGTGTAATCGGGCTGCAGGTGCAAGTTCTGAATGATTTTTCGATCGAACGGAATCATACGAGTGCACGTCGTTTACGTTGTAAGTCCTCGCGCGGACGGTTTGAAGACGGAAAAAAATTAAAGAAAAACAATAAAATCCAAAAAATAAAGAGCGAATAAAACATTATTACTACCGTTATTGTTTCACTATAAAAGGTCACTATTCCTATCCTAACCTAACCCAACCCTCCGATCAATAACGCACAGGAGCCGATCGACGCGAAGTCTGTTCAGACGTCTCGACGTCCGCGACCACCGTAGTGATGGTGATGATGTTTGCCGTAGTGATGCGGGTGATGAGCATGGTTTTCGTAATGGACGTGCGCGTTGAAACCGTTGTGCTTGTCCGCCGTGTACGTCACCTTCCGGATCCGGCCGTCCGGCTGGACCACGCTGTAGCCACCGTGCACCACGTCGCCGTCCCGCTCCTCCCACTGGTCCTTGTCGTCCTTCGTATGCGGATCTTTGACGCCGTACTTGAACGTGTACTTGGGCGGTGCCTACGTATGCGTTAGGGAGAAGAAAAAAAAAAAGAAGTTAAAACGAGAATCACGATTTTCGCGGAGAACTCGCTCAACGGGCGCAACTCCATCCTCTGCCCTAACAAACGGACGAGTGCAGACGACTGAGCTCGTCGGGCGTTATGAGACGTAAAACGATTTGTGCAGCGGTCCGAGAGACCGGAAGAAAAAAACAACTGTCCGACAGTGAAGAGCAAACGAATGGAGTACGTGACCGAATGCGGCCGATCACTGGAAAGAGGAAACCCGCGATATCTCCGAAATCGCACTGAACGGCAATAATTATTCCCGAAAAAGCTAACACTGCGTCACGTCGAGAGTATAAAGTTACGATACGCGTTGAAACCGACATCGAGAAGTACGACAGCGATCCAAGGGGTTTACCGAAACGTACTCGAAGGAAATATCATCCCCGAACGGCCCTTGCCGATGCGTCTCGATCGATGAGTGTGTTGGTCACGCCATGGTCGACAGCACGGAGATCGATCATCCCGAACGGAATGCTATTTCAGTGTCGGTCTATAATTCCGTCATCGGTTGCGTTCTTACTAGTTTATTTCTTTTAGCGACTCGAAGAGTTAACGTTTGTATAATATGAGATTTTATTTTTTTATTGTTCCAACACGTGGCGTACCCCGTACAACCGATCGGCCACAGCTGCTGCACGCAAACCGTTTTCGTTTCGTCGGCACATCGCATATTATTATAATACCATTATAGCCGAGAGCTCGGATGCGCGTATATCATAGGAATCGTCGCGAGGGACGGACACGATCACGTCAGAAACGTGTACTTTGCGTTGATATACGATTAAGGTCGACAACTTTTTCGTAAGACGTACCGATTCTCCGAGCCACCGCGGGGTATCGACGCGCGTCGCCTTTCCGGGTCCTGCCCGTGTCCGAACGCGATTACCGATCGCATCAGCGGTGCGAATTGCACGGCCGCAGCTGTAATCGTTGCGTCCGTGCCCGTCGCAACACGAATTATTGCTATCCTATTTTTTGTATACGTACGTAATAGTCGTGTCCGTGGTGCTGGGTGTGATGGAATATCGGATGGTAATACGCGAACGAGGTGGCACCATGGTGGTTAGCCGCTGTCAATGTCGTCAGCGCGCCCAGGGCGATCGCAGAGATCTGGAAAATTGCACAGAGAAATCATACGTTTTCGACGGTATTCGCGCTGCACGGTTTCGCGATCGTCCGACGATCATTCAAACATGCGTTCCGCAAGTCGAAAACCACGAACACCATTGTTATTGTGTTGTATCGCTAATACGATCGTAATACTCGTTTCGACGTGATTCGAACGTTATCCGTCACGATTAAAGATTCTATAATTTTTTTTTTTTTCGGACTACGAGAACCACGGAAAAAAAGGTTAACTTTCGCAATATTCAATATTTTTTTAATATTTTAATATTTACTCGCGGTTTGAAATACTCCTTGTGTATAGTCAACTAAGTCTACACGAACGTATATTTTATTAACAGTAAATTACAAATATTACAACGATGGGGAATGTTAGATTTATAATGATGGATTATAATTTTTACTTTCGATACGAAACATACAAGTAGGTTACGAAAAAAAAATCGTCACATAATGTTGGGGTATATGCGATTGTTTTAGATTCTTATTAGGTACATGATTAGGTACATATTTCTTGTACGACATCAACAAGTGTTAACGATATCGGTAATGAATTAAATTAAAAAAATTAGGATAACTTTAACAGAACAACAACGAAGGTTTAGTTGACATTTTTATGCTCAGAACTTAATATTTTATTGGAATGTACTTTGTCATCGACTTACCTGTAAAAAACCAGCCATCGAGATATATGATATGCACTGAACCGATTGAGATGTGCACGTTGAATTGAAGTGATTATTATTTTTTACTCGTTAAACTCACAACTGACGGACTGATACTGATTGAGTAGGACAATTAATATTTAGTATTTATAGTGCTCGGCTCTATGTGCAACGGCTAATAACCAAACAGGAGTTAAAACATTTCGAAACATATAGGTATATGAAACACATGTTATTATAAGAGGGCCGTTAGTTTTAGGTGTATTGGTTCTGCGGTGGGTGCATTTGCGGTCCATCCGCCAACACAATCAGAACAAAACACTGATTATAATTAGAAATATATTATGTTAAGGTCTTTAGTGGTTTTTGACGAATTTTACACATCGACGCTTGAGGCAACATATTATTTATAAATTACGTAATTTATAAGCACGGTGCATGAAATGATGATCGACGAATATTTATGAACCTAATGTTCTGCCGAAAAATAAATTCTGAAAATAATTAAAAAAAAAAAAAAAAATCGTACTTAAATGATACGACTTTTAGAAATGCTTAAAACACTTAACACATTTGAATCGGGTTTCTATTATCAATAATGGTCGTATTTTTATGTAACTGTTGTTGCGTTCAGAAGGATTGTAGAAGCGACAAAGGACCTCAATGGTCCGTATTAACAGGCCAAAAGAAGAAGAAGAAGAAGAAGAAGTTGTTGTGTTCTTTGTCGACAAAATAGAAAAAAATGAACCATTAAATTTAATGAGGTTGGTCATAATACAAATACTACTCGTAATTCTTTGATTAGGTCGAAATGGATCACAATTTCCAGTGGTATTCTATGGGGCTTTTATTCAGTTGTTTACCAAATCGATTACAAACGTGTTATCATTTCAGGACACATGAAATTAGAATACAAAATAATTTTAAATAATATTAATCGTTATACCACATAATTCGCCATTTCTTTTGTAATTAGATGATAATGATGATTCGATATTATTTTATCAATATATGAACGGTTTATAAGAATATTCGCACTACGCTGATAATATTACAGGGACATAAAAAACGGACGTTGAAAAGGACCTCAGATAACGGATTTTCAATTTCAGTGATGAAACTATTGATTTGTTCCTGGAAACATAAAAACATGCAAATAATCAAAAATTCAAAAATAAAACTCAATCGATCATCATGTTCTTCCGTTGTTGATTTGAAGAAAAATCAATTTATAATTATATTTATTAAGATGCATCGTAAACTATACTGAGAATAAATCGAATTACAAAAAAACAAAATACAATACTTATGCAATCGAATAATTATTAATTGTATAACAATGGTTGTGTACAATAATTGAGTTGTGTTTTGATTTGAAATATTTTTCTTATTGAATCGAAAAATCAAAAAAAATTTACATCAATAAGTTATTGATAATTTACAACAATTTTATCTATCTCCTTTAAACTTTCAATTACTTTTAAAATAAATTCATAATGCTCAGTGGCGCAGGTAAGAGGGAGGTGTTCAAACCCCCTTTAGTAAAGTAGCATCCTTAAAACTAGGTAGATAAGCATAATTTTTTTAGCATAAAACACGATAATATGAAAATTGTTAGGACATAAAATTAATAAATAAATACGTGACATATCGTGTCATAATAACAAATCATGAAAGATAACTTGCACAACTATTATGTATCTAGTTTGATAACTTTTGCATTTGTATAATACCATGATTATTATATCGTTCTCTGATAAATTGTGTGATATTGTAAAGTGTGTAATTGCATTTGTTTTTATTAAATTGGTTATTATCGAAAATCAAGTTCACTCCTTCATTTGTTGCGGATTTTTTACTGAAGTTGTGTGAAGAACGCATATACTACACATATGGCAATGTCTGAAAACAATATGTACGCGTTTTTGTCACCCGTCAAAACGTCAAAATGACATAATGTTTTATGTCATACAGACAAATAAATCGTTCCCTGTAACTCGTTCTAAAAATAAATTATTGGATTTTTCGATGCGTTTACTCTAGTACCGTTAGTGCGTAGAGCTAAACAATACGTTTAAAAATAAAACGGTGTACCGGGGATGCAGTTCTACCATTAGAGCTCCTAAACGTCGATACGGAAATTGTGTAACTATATAACATCTAATCATTACGGTGTATTATAAATTACGAATATTCATCGTATTATAATTCATTACAACTCATAATGCAGTTCATACAGTAATACACGTATTGTTACAGCGATAACTACGACAAATTCATTATATTTTCGTCACATGCGCTACATAATTTCCCTTTATTCTGAGTGTGTATGTTGATTCAATCAGTTACGTAGGCAAATTAAGCTACGTGATCGTCGACGGAACTCGTGGCTGGGTTAATAAAAACGGAATCACGTCGTAAACAAACCGTCTCATTTATTATCATCACGTGGTTCAGTCAAGGCTAAAAAAAACGTACCGTCTGTCTTATTTATAATATATTTACCATACGTCATCGTATACCTACTGCGGTTGTTCTGTTGAGCATACTTTTAATTTTTAATTTTTTTTTCACGTCAATAAATCTTGTTTGGGTGTACCTATTTATATATATATATATATATATATATACGGCGATAGTGATTATGGTAAGTAGCCAAAACGGTGTGTGGATAATACGGCAAATATTTATTTTTTTTCGACATTGTAAGAGATTTGTTATTACACTAATTGATCTGCATTTTATAGTTGTTTATTTGATATGCATGCAAATTACTGTACAAAGCGTTATAGTTAGCTTTTTTTCATTACGATTTTTTAAATACTGTAATACAAGTTCATTTTTATTGTACTTTTTATTCCCTTAACAGTGTCTTTTAAAAAATAACTTTAAACTTATTTTAATCACAAATAAGATTCAGTTTACAATTGGGGCAATCGAATTACGCAAAATTACACAGTTATAGTCTTGTATTTTACTTGTGTTTTCCCGACAATAATTATATGACCCTACCCATCTACTACATATTCAAAGAAATAATATTTTAACACTTATTTATTTTTTTCATGACATTGGACATATTTATAGTACCTATAGTTATATTGTTTAATTTACTATTTTTAATAAATGTTGTGGAATTCGTAAATCACAATACAAAATTGTACTTCGCAATGGTTAATTTCATAATTTTGATATAATTTCAATAGATTTTGGTTCTTCCGGACATTTTTGCAGTCAAACCTGGGATATTTGATAATATTCAAGTAATATTAATATATTTTTTTTATGTTTCATTTCGATCATTGGTAATTTGAAACTTTTTATTTTTCCAAATTTATTGAATTTTGTAGATCAAAGTAATTTTTGTTTGTTAGTGCCAATAATTAACCAACTTTAATTAATTTTATAGATCAAAATCATTTTTGTTTGTAAGTGTCAATAACCAACCAACTTAAATACTGTTTATTACCCATTTTATAATTTTCACCAAATATTAACATGAAATGTACAGTACGTACAAACAATTTTTGGTTTTAAAAACTGTTTATTGTATGTACCATGATTTAGTGCTACGATTCGGTCTAATATATTTTTTTTTTCCACTATTGATTTTCGATTTCATTTCAAATCCCTTCATACTAAATTATAGCCGATTTCATGCCTTCTGCAAAATTTCGATTGGAACATCTGAATGATTTATTTCATATAATGTATATTAAATCCATAAAAAGTTTGGCAATCAATGCGAAATCCAACGCAAGAACCAAAGAATCACCATAATTTACATGTTTGATGATTTACTGCCAATAAACCGATTTAAAAAATTGAACGGTTTCATTAATCTTTAGTGGTAAAAAAAACAATTCACTATCTAATATGTTATTGGTTTCAAATGATGTAATTCAATAACAAAGTATTATTTAATATATAAATAATTAATTAAAAGTTATTGACATTTCTAAAACAATCACTAAATAATATATTTTTTCAAGAGAGTATTAATATATAATATAACGTGCAGATATTAATAATCTACTTATCTCTCTACTCTAAAAAACAAACTTTTCAATTATATCTTCTATTTTATTTATATAATCAGAAATATTTAATAATTTTTATAATTCATAATATTTAGTAACTATTTTAAGAGTATTGACTCCAAAATGATTGTATTTTTTTTTATTTTTGTAATTCAGCTTTCGGGTAATTCAACCGAATTACGAGCTATAGATCACGGTTTGTTTAAATTAAATGTTTCCAGAAGAAATTCGATTTTGATGATAAGACGCTTAATTTAACGGATCGCAGAGTTTATGTCTAGCTTTCAGCGTACATACTAATTGGCCATTATTGTGTGCCCATTCGAGGATGATTTCGAGGACGACTGGACTCAAAAACCGACCGACAATCGGTCGAAAGAGTTCTGGTGAATTAGGTTTGAACACCGTTACCGTAAACCATATCGCCGTCATAGACGTTCGTGACCGGGTATTGAAATGATGTAACAAGAGGATTCGAAGACAAAGGCATGGATTTTGTTTTATTGATTTTTCAATTGGAATTTAACAAGACAGCATACAAACAGGGTGCATAAAAGTAGCAAACAAAAACGGGAGAAACATATTACGAGACGGAACTGGCACCAGTTTTGCGGTGCTACCGCGGTACGACATGACGTAACCGCGAATGTGCTGCTGTTGCCGTCGGCATTACAGTTTCTTCATTCGTCTCCGTGGTGCCCGTAATGTTGCGGGTGGTGAGCGTGGTGCACGTGGTGCACGTGCGCGTTGAAGCCGTTGTGCTTGTCCGCCGTGTACGTCACCTTCCTGACCCGACCGTCGGGCTCGACCAGGCTGTACTCGCCGTGCACCACGTCGCCGTCCCGGTGCTCGGACTGGTGCTTGTGGTCGCCGGTGTGCGGGTCTTTCACGCCGTACTTGTACGTGTAGTGTGGCGGTGCCTGGGAACAGAACGCGGTCGACCGAGAACGTGAATACGACCAACCGGTTACCATGTCGGGCCCGTCAAACGGGCCCAAGTAGGCCGGTTGCGCCGCTCTCCGGGGATGAATTCTCTCCCCTCCCCCCTCCCCCGCAGTGGAGGATGTTTTGATTGCGCGCCGAAGGAACACCGTTATCCAGGACCCCCGAACGATTACGTTACCCTAGTTCCACGACTGTGGCGTAACTCGGCCCTCGGTTTTCGCAAGATTGGATTCGGTTACGGAAATCGAAACGGTCATTTTGCAGTGGAAAGACTCGACTCATGGGCGACCCCCTTCGTCCGAGCGATGCATCGTTTGATTTATACCCACGTGGTCCAATGTTTTTTGTTTCGCTTTTGATACCCTCTCGGAGCCGTGAAATAGTCTACATGCTTGAAATTAAACTTCTCCTTTTTTCCGGCCGAACACGTTTTGTCCGAACCTTATATATATATATATATATTTATGAACAATGATTGTATACTTACGTAATGATCGTGTCCATCGTGATGAGTGTGTTCGAATTTCGGATGGTAAAAAGCGTAAGATGTGGCGTCGTGTTCCGCAAAAGTTATAGCTACAAGGGTGGTAAACACCAGCACGGCGACCTGTAAATTATAATAAATACAAATGTTGACTACAATTAGAAAGTGGAATGTAAACTGCCCCGCAAGCTTTTTGGTTTGAGAATAATCATTCCGGTCGAAATATAACTGTTTTCAAACACAAATCGAACGCACATTATTTTTATACCATTCGATCACTGGATAGAAAACGCATTTAAACATTTAATAAATATTACGAGCGAAATTATAGTTATAGTTACAGTACAGCGTTTTCTACCCGTACACATGTTTCTACACCGCGGGTACGTAACAGATTGCATTTCACTCACTTGTAATACAATGTTCACCATCATAAGCGTTCAGCGAGTGATTGTTGATATCAGGAAAAGCGCTGTTCAGAACGAGCAAAACGATCGATATGAACTGATAAATGTTCACCACCGTGGTCGGGTATTTATATGAAAACCGAAACCATAATGGACGTGTTGCAATAGCGTAGTACAACACACACCTAAACCATTACAGAAGAGTGTTCAATGTTTTGTTAACCTCTGTGGTGAGTTTACATTTATGCTCCGGCAAGTTTGGTCTGACGAAAATTATCGATTACTAATCAGAATAATAATTATTATCGTCTGCAGTGGCGCTTGTATGAGGTCAGCGGTTACTGTCGCCACCGCCATATTACGGTATCAACTATGTACGCATTGATTCTGTTTTAGCTTTTGTAATTCTTGGTTTCGTCGATTAATAGGTCGTTTACATATTTACGAGATGTTATTTTACGAAGTCTTTCAAGGTTCACGAAATCAAAACTGAAATAATTACTACTTAGTAATTTTTCCGAGGTTGGACGAGAAAACGTTCAAAATTCAAGTAATTTATATAAATAGGAAACATCTTAATTCATATTTATATATCATAGGCGTACGCACAATGATGTACGATTTGACCAGACGCTCCCCCCCCCCCAAAAATTTTTTAAGGCCGTACAATTTAAGTCTAAGAGTAAGTGGCTTGTATTTTAACTGATGTTGCTTAAATTTAATGTATTTTATTCCAAAAATATTTGATAAAGAATAAATTATATTTCGTAATAGAAAAAATAAAAACAAAATGTTTAAAACTGTTGTGCAAAAACTTAAAACGATAACAGCTACAGTTGACTAGAAAAGTACAAATCATAAATAATTAAAGCTATCTAAGAAAAATATATTAGGTCCAAAAATATATTCATTGAGACTAGTTTACCACAATATTAAATAAAAACGGAAGTTATGTTTAAGTAATTAATTATTTATACATTATAATTTATTAAATATACCTCCATATTTCGTTAAGATAGGGCACAAAAGTATTGTAAGTACCCCCTAAAATACAGGTCTTTGCACATATATAATACATATTACGTATGTATATACTATTTACTATCATATATATATATGATATTTAATTGCGCGTAAGCATCAAATAACGATATTACATTATTTTAATTGTTCAACATTATTCTTTATTCATTGATCGACGATTACGTAACAATTATAACGTGTTTTCCACTGCGTAGATACATTTAAGTATATTAAAACATTTTATTGACATTATATTGTTATAATAAAATGTATATTAAGTATTTTTTGTAACTATTAATTTACATGTGCCTTTAGAAAGGAGTTCAACCCGTAAATAAATTGAAGTAAAAAAAATATAAAAAAAATAAAATAAATAAACTGGCATAAAACGCATCGAAATTCTTGCGAATTATAAAATAAGTTACAAATCGGTTTAAGAACAATTATCTGTATATGGTAATAAACTATGTGTTTAATTCAATATTCGTTTAATCATACCGAATGGTAGGACAATAATTAGAATATTTTTTTCAGAAAATAAATTTGATCAAACCAAATATTTAAATTTTTTTACTCCAGGTAAAATAGTTTGGAAATGGCCATATTGGATTTAAAAAACACAAAGAAAACATCATCAATTCTATCTGAAAGAAGTATAATTAATGTTTGGTGGACAAGATAAACATTATTTCTTAAGGCTTTCAGATTTTAGTAAACCAACAGTGGAAAAAATCGAAAAACAACTGGATCGAAATGATCCAGTTGTGTCCTTTGCCTAATTTTCAATATTGTAAATAATGACATTTTTATAATCATTTATCACCTAAAATAAACTAGCAGACGTATAAATCAAGTAGTGGATCAAAATTTCGCTCAATCACATTATAATATTATATGAATTACACACCGTGAAAAATCCAATGTAATGTTTAATACAATTTTATATTTTACATATTTTTAAACAACGATATTAATGTAAATTGAAACATATCATCCAAATGCTTTTTTCCGAATCAGCGAAGATCAAGAAGACGAATTATAAGGAATTTAATTGAAATTTATATTTATGATAAAATCTTATGAACAATTACAATTTTAATAACAATATTTTGTCTTAACTTCTATTATAAATTTTAAATTAAATTCTCATTCAATTTTTCTACAAAAAAATTGTTATTGAAATTTTACAATTGTGGAAGTAAATCCAACAATTATCCAAATGTTTATCATTGAATTATCCATGTAGGAAAATGGTGCTTTAATTATATTTCGGGTGTATCTTCTATTGACTTGTAAGTCATTCCTAACGACACTTATAATTATTAAATATTTAAAAATTTACAAACACAATTCTTATACACTATCATTGAAAATTTAAAAATAATCATTTTGAAAACAGTTATTTACCACTGATTTTATATTTAATATTATGACAAATTAAATAATTAAATAATAAAACGTAATATTTTGAAAATTAATGCATTTATTTTATAAACATTTTATAGCAGTTATATCGAAAAAAAAAATGACAATAAAATTGTATGTTATAATAATAAATACGTTTTTATAAAAATATAATAATGATTAATTATTTGGCTAACAACTTAAAGTTGTATAGAGATAACAATTAAAAGTTCATCTCGAGTAAAATACAATATGAGAAAACAAAATAAAAAAATACAACTTAATAGGGTTGAATAATGAAAATATTAAAAACCTTCACAAAATAAAAAATGTATTAATTATAAGTAAAAATCAATGATTTTATAAAAAATAAGAGAAAAATTCGGAAAGTATGAAATGTTGTTAATATTATTTAATAATAATCATGTATCGACATAAATATCGTTGTGAACTGATCACAAAGAAGTACCTATATACTTATGAATATTATCAAACTTTTATCAAACATAAATTAATAAAAATTGTTTTCAAGTATATCGTACTACATCTAGTTAATTTTATTTTAAAATATTATTTGTTATTATAATATACTTGGTATGTATGTGATACGATCACTTATACATTTCTGTAATATGAGTTGATAAACGAATATTTTACGGGTGTATATAGTAGATTTTATAACTAAGAGTTTAGTTATAGAAAACATATCTATAAAAATACTTATTTAATATATTATTTATTACATATTTATTTATAGAATACTTGCTTTTAAACTCACTATGGATTACTGACAATCAATCAAATCGATGATTGCAGAAACTTCATGAATCACATATTTTATAAAATTTAGATATTAGTAAAAATGTATACTAGTCACGTGTTACTATGCGTTTAGTGTAAAAATATCTTAAGCTATACTTTTTTTAGTAGATAAATTAAAATAATCAGTGTTTTTACATTAGACACATAGAAACACATGGTTAGTATACGATTTTACTAATATCTCTATTCTATTCTATTAAAAAAAATATGACTTGTAACGTTTATGCAATCATTGATTCAGTTATAATATTACTTTTAAGTATTTACCATGTACTTATTTTAATATTACTAAGACCCTGTCAGAATAATAAACCTTACAAAAATAGAAGATTTTTTTAAAGTTTAAATTCTCTAGTATTTTAATGGTTATTGATCATTGTGCCAAACGATATGCAAATTTAAAAGTTAACTAGTATAATATAAAAAACACAAACGCATAAAATAACTTGTGAAGACATTTTAATAAGACCATTTATCATATTGTATTAGTAATTTATAGTTAAATAAAATTTGACAGAAATTGCCTACACATCGCGCCGTTACAAAGTAATACAGAAAAATTAAGATTATATCTATATTGTATTTAAGAAGGCTATGGTAGTTCCTTAGAAAAAAAACAATTTACCAACCTAATTTTCTATTCAGTTTTTCTAGATAGTCCATATTATTAAGTCGATTGTAAAATTGTTCTCAATATTTTTTTTTTACATGATGCAAAATGTAACTTTAAAATAATTAACCATAATCATTCTTTTTTATGATAAAATGTCGAAATTTTGGTTAAAACATTGGGAACAATTATAATGACCTTCATCTAGTTAGTCATATTATTATATATCTGTATATATTTCAAAACAATGATAAATCATTTCATTCAGAAAAATGATTCTTAGTGAAGGTCGGTGTAAGACAGTGAATTATCGTTAGGTAAAATCAAATCAAAATCATGATAACATCGATAAGCGTATAAATAATAATAACTAGCCTGAGTATGATACGTTTTAAAAGAAATCTTAGAAACCTAATCAATCAAACGATTTCAATTAAACAATGAAACTTCAAATTTAGTATTTAAAATTAGCTCAATTTAAAAATATTTTTTATATGCACGAAAAAAGGGTTAGAATTATTTTTAAGTAAAGTTTATTTTCAACACCTTTTTTCAATGGAAAAAATTTGAATCAAATCTAAATACATTTTGACATATTTCCTATTCGCAATTCACTGAATCTTGTTTTAAATTTTTCATTAAAATGAAAAAAAACTTTTAACAAAAAGAAAAAGGTATTTTTTAAATTTCAATCCATTATCTTATGAATTACTATATGAAACTTTTGATGCAAAATTATCACAACCCTATGAATATGTTAATACTTCCATTAAAATCCAATAATTAGTGTCAAAACAAATTATTATTAATTAATAAAATAGAGATTTTAAATATGAATTATTTAATCATAAATCGATTTCCTGATAATGCATTTCTCAAATTATTCAATGAATTTCTTAAAATTTTTTAATATTCAAAATTAATACGGGTCTCTCTAACTATGAAAAATTTAATTTTCGTAATCTCCTACGTTCTTATGTGGCAATGAAATCAGCCACTTTTTAAAAATTAAAATTCTATATATTGAGTTTATTATTATTATTATTATTATTATTATTATTACTATTATTACTATTATATTTATGGTTTACTTTTCTTAGACTATTCATCAATGGCTTTGTTACATTATCTAATCCGTACACCTATGTATGTTTCATTTCCCTTCATTCCCGCTCTATAATAGATATGTCGAAAAATTAGGTCACTCATTCCGGTCGTAATCATTTCCGTGTTATGATAAAAGATAAATAATTTTTACTAAAATCAAACAAACTTTTAATTTTTGTTTTAACCGCACGAATAAAAATTATCAACAATATTAGGCAGAAACGT